TTGTACTACAGAATTAGAAAAAGAATATTCTAATTGCAGATCTTTTACCATAAATCGAAATGATCTGCGTTACACAAGTTTGAAAAACTCCTGACTGCATTATATCTGATCTTGAAATTTGATTAGAAGAGCGACATATAAAGCGCATTGCATGATGTAATGTATTAAGTTAGAAAGAACTTCATTAATGCAGAACAATCTTTTTTATTAGCATATTGAAGTTTTAATACACCGAATCTAAAAATTTGGTTGGTTGCTGAAATTTTTTAGGGTAGCAACACTAGAGCTGCCAAAAACTCCCAGCGCATGGGCAGGCGCAAGACTTGTTTTTACTTAGAAAACAAGTTTGTTTTGACTGATCTTAAATTTTGATTGGTCAAAATTACTGAGGATGAACAAACTTTTGTTAGAATTAATGAGATAATTGTGACGCAATTAAATCTTTTAAATCTGTTTACCGTTATCATAAACAATTGTTCTACGTCAAATTCAGTGTTAGTTCAACAAGAACACGTACAAAGTCGATACTGCGTAAATAGATATGTGCAACTGTTACTACTTATTTTTTACTAATTTTTCGAAGATATTCTTAGGAGTAGTGATGTGGTTCCCGAACGAATGTCAGAGTGCAATTTTTATCGAAACCAGTGGTGGGATAAGGGAGAATTTAGCGAAAAAGCAAAGTGGGAAGAAGTAGTGTAAGTTTACTTGTTTGGTGTTGATATTTTTTGAGCCGGTTGTTAATATAAATTAAGACTGTCATATGTACTTGCCACGGGCTTTACCATAGAAGAATATGAACAACGTACAGAAAAGTTTTCCGTTCGTGGATGTTGGGAATGGCGAGAAGGAAAAGTCATAATCTATGAATTTCCTTCTGTACCACATGAAGTTTGCATCAATGCAATCGTCGAGGAAATAAATGATGGTTGCAGAGGTGCTCGTGGAACTAACGCGGCTTCGGTGCTAGTAAATATTAACATTATGGTATATATATTTTTTTTGTGACATCACATTAATTTGATTGCTTAAAGGAACACGCGACATAAACCGTGGAAAAGAAGCCGACGCATCATTTCGCCCGGATAAACCAGTTGTAACTTCACAAAATGGGAGTGATGAAAATGTACTTTTTTTACGTTTGTTCTGATAAATTCACCGACAGTCACTTCATCGAATCACCGAATGCTCATTTAGCCGACATCACATAGGGTTAGGGTTAAGCATTTGATAAGTTACAGGTATACATTTTTACTAAATTTCACCTGGGGTGATGTCGGCTAAATGAGTTGTCGGTGAAATAATACGGACCCACTTTTTATTGGCTTTGAACTCTTTAAAGCTAGTAATTCAAATATACAAATATACTTTTTTTTTTATTTTAGGGGTTCCCTTGGGTAAACTTAGTTGTTGAGGTGGCTTATTCCGAAACATTAGATCATGTCGAAGAAGCATTGTGCTACTGGTTAAGTCCTGGTCGCGCCCATGATTGTATTATTGTAAAAATAGATCCGGTTCCCCAAGGCGAAATGCCTGTCCGTATGAGAGTAAGTTATATTTATGCAGTGTATCATTCGTATTATTTGTATTATTTGTATAATATTCTGAATATTTTAATTCATTACAGGCTTGGCACTACTGTGTATCAGATAGAACTAGAAGTAATATTCCGGCTAGAACTATGATAATGTGTTAAATTATAGTAATTTGCTTTTTTAGTATTATATTAAAAATCTCTAATACACAGTATATATTATTAGTTTGAATTTGGAACACAGGATGGAAGTGGTGCACCATTGAATATTTTGCAAGGTCAATGTATTATGAATATTTCACTAGATTGCCTCTATTTTGAAGCGGAGCCTACTATTCAAACCCCCAAGATCTTTTATTTTTTTTTGTTCAACATGCATTTAAAGTTGCATTTAAAGTTGTTTAGAAATTTTATACAATATTGTAGACTCAGCTTTGATATGCTAGTTAGCTTTGGGTTTATCTTTTAACATGAATTAACTGACACTGACAGAGAGAACACTACGTAACAAATTCATAATCCTATCACTAATTTTACCGAAATACAGTTAAAAAATCAAAAAAACTAGATAAAAACTAGATGAGCAAGTTAAAGTTTGATGAAAAAAATTACACTACGTGCGCATACTAATTTAAATACGCATTATATATATTGATATATACTTATTAAGGAAGACTTGTTACTACAGTCAACTCTCTCTAAGTGCAAGTCGCCGGGACTAAGAAAAATTTAATATAAAAAAAATTTAAATCTTGCATTTAGAGAATACCAAATTTATAATTCTCTATATACTTGGGACCAAAAAAGGTCTTGCATTTAGAGAAAATTTTATTAAGAGTTGCACTTAGAGAGAGTTAACTGTATATATATCTTTATCAACGTAATCTAAAACATTATAGTGGTCACTTCGTTATCATTATCAACTTGTTTAACAGATTTGTAAAAGTTGCAAATTTAGAAATTTAGCATTAGATAGATTTTTTGAAATCTTGGGATTTGGGATGAAAGTTGAAATTTAGAGATTTTAAAATTTTTAAATATAGGTGGATAATCCCATTTGTCCGGTCAAATCCCAAGAGTTTGCCAAAAAAGTTCGAGCACGTGATGGAAAATGACTCTACGTATCACTATCCGTAAGCGGTAGAATCTCCGAAATTTTATAGTATCACTATCACTTTTTACGCCACGTGGTCGAATTTTTTGTGGTTTCTTTGGCTTATGGTAATAGTGTTATGACGATCATAAGTTACCTTTTTGTCTGTTTTTTTAAAACATATAGGTAACCAGATCATGACATCCCATTCTGCTGGAACACACCCTGGTAAATTTATCTTTATATTTCGGATTTCTGCCTTTACATTATATTACATCATACTGAGCGTCTTTTGCACTAGGATTTGATAATGCACCTGTGACAAAGGGCCTTCTTTTATGCGTTGGTGGTTGCTCGTTAGTTGCATATCTTCTTGAATGCAGATCTTTAACTCATTTAGAACTCATTCCTGGTTTGACGACAAAGCATGAGGTGTGATTTAAATGATTATACGGAACAATTGTTTTTAAAGTATCTTACGATTAACTCGTCTACACCTCTTATATTTGTAGTTTTGGCGATTAATAACATCACAATGTATTACTACGACCTCGGGTGATTTTTTTTTTGGAAGTTTAGTAATGTACCAATTAAGGGTGATCGAACGCCAATTTGGATCAGCAAAATATGCGGTGAGTCAATTTATCTTTAACACGATCGATTTTAATTCAAGTTCTCATAAACGAGTTTTTATTTTTTATTTTCGCTAGGCATTCTTTTTGGTGACATCTGCTTTGTCGACGATCTTCGAAATTGGTGCACTTGCTGTTGGCAGAAGATATGGATTGGCATTTATTCCGGCAGGGCCTTATGGTTTCATATTTGCAGCACTTTATCAATTTTATAAAATAATTCCACCTAGCAGTCATTACACTTTTCTTGGCATTAATATTAGTAACAAGGCATCAGTATATTTTCTGACCGCTTTACCGGTAAGAGACACATCTTATTATATCTGATGATGTCTTAAATGGATTTATGCTACGCATAATGACACTATATCCTTTCATTACTGGACACAATATGTATAGTTTTTAGCATTTCAGTCACCTTCATCACTCGTTGCGGCAGTGTGTGGGATTTTGGCAGGAGCAATATATCGAAGCAATTTACTAAATATAAAAGAATGGCGTTTTCCTCAGTTTATTAATCGAATTGCATCAAGATTTATTTTACCCATATTATCGACAACGCCACGTCGTCGTTCGCCAGCAATAGTACTGGATCAAAGGGCGCAGCCAGTACAAGATAGAGGGAGAAATTCATCTACAATGTCATCCGTAATTCGGGTACGTCTAAATCAATATACCTTCAGTCACATAACTAATAGTCCGATGCTAATAGCTGATTCATATCTTTTAGCAACCAAATATAAATGAAGAACATGTAGATAATTTGCGATCAATGTTTCCACAACGATCACAAGAAACTATAGCACGTGCACTTCTTTTGTCCGATAATGATATCAATAGAGCAGCTCAATTTCTACTTGATCATCCATAACCGATTTGGATTTAGAGTAAATGAAAAGTTCAAAATATACAAGTAATGTTTAAAAAAAATACACAACTAATTCGTTATACAAATCAACACTATTACTAGAGGCATAATGTTGTTTGCAAAGATTTCTGATCAAACTTATAAAAAAATTATATATTTGAAAGCATTTCATAGGTAAGATCATAAAGCTAATAGACTAAATATTACTATTATTATTATTATATTATTATTATTATTTGTTAATTTTTAGAGTATCTGATTGAAAGGTTTGACTTGATATAGTATTTGTTTTCTCAGGAAAAAAAAGACAATTTATCAAAATAACTGAAAACAGTTAATTTATTTGCACAGAATAAATTTAGCTTATAAAATAATGTGAACATTAAATTTAGTTTAGATTTTTTGAAATTGTTAATATATAATGAAAGTTTTTTCTAGTTTATGCACTAATGTTATAGTATTATCAATTTATAATTACTTGGTTGTAAATTTCATTTTCGAGAAGACTACTGCAAGTTTGTCTTGCATGTTTGTCTTGCACTGTAACTATGATCCAAATGTCGATCGTAGAAGGTGACGTAACAATCCGATGAATGGAGTCATAGCAACCAATAAATGGATTAAATCGGGCATAGTTATGCTAGATGACAAATATTTCATCTAAGCGAAGATCTAGGGGTGTTCCCCACATTTAATATTCTTCCAGCTAGATTAACTCGGGCCAACTGCATGTTTTGCTTACACATGCCCAAAAAAGGGTGTGACATCCATGAGGATAAAACGTGAGGAGTATTTTACTTGTGGCAAATAATAATAAAACATATATGATCTCAGGATATCAGGAATCATATCACATGACAATACTCGCCTTTATCTGTTATGCAATGTCATAAATGCACAATGGTTTTTACAAACCTATTATTGTCTTAATATTAATAGTTTTCGTGGCGCAGAAATCTGACGATTACTCGATGCAGACTGTTCGTTACGCATCGAAAAAAGTTTTTTTTTCATATTAATTAAACAAAGAACAATGACGCCTAAATTGTAGATAAATTAGAAATAAAGAATAATCATTTTTCCGAAGATTGTTGGTTATTTAATTATCTGACATAATTTTGGGGTTAAGATTTTGGTAATTTTGGTAGCGATGGGGTTCATCGCTTCTTTTTTGCTTTCAGACTATCTAACTATTTGATTAAACAAATAAAAATGGATGGGGTTAAAGAATTGTAGCATCCGTGCATACAAGTTTTTGACAGCGAATTGTCCGATGCCACGATTCATTTTTCAAATCTTAACAATAGAACCATTATCAGATTTAACATATGTCAAGCATCGCATTGTCTTTGTATAGTGAATTCCACCGGGTCGTCGGTCCACAAGCAAGCTTCGTCGCACTTTCTAAATATGATCCTTTGCATGTGTCACTGCCTGTGACACTTTCGTGTTAATGTTTATATGCAATTTTAGTGTCACCTTTTGGTGATACAGACGGTTGTTCAGAAATTATTCGTCAAATCAAGATTGAGGTATGTAGTAACCAGTGATCATTATCTATTTATAATACTCGCCGAGAATATTGAATAAATCTTAGCCAAAGCCTTTTTTTCCTTCTTACGCAGGCTCACATACTATATATTGTAAAGAAGAAACTTGCTAATTTTTGCCATCTCGCTTCACACACGTGTCATGGCTACTACGGTTTTGTCAGATCGTCAGAGGGACGAGCTGTAAGTATTCCCTATTTCCTTGTCCAAAAAAAAAGTAAATGTGTGGTGATTTCCACATCTCTACGTTTATATAAGTTGTTAATTGACCTTAAAGTGTTCAAAGACCGTTCTAAAGTCTTTTATCGTGGTCTCTTTATTGCAAGTACTCATAAAATAACCAATATTCTACATGCTTCTGGTTTCTTTTGTCAATCTTGTTCGGATTTTTTGTCACGTTCACTTTCGATAACTTTTCTTAATAATGAATGATTTGTACACAGTCACAGAGCCATCCTCGATTACCTTTATGCCAACGGTTATACAGAATCGTTCAATAACCTCAAATCGGAAGCAAATCAAAGTGATTTCAATCCGGATCCTAAACAAAAATATGCCGGATTGCTAGAGAAAAAATGGACCTCGGTCATTCGATTACAGAAAAAAGTATTTATCTGAATTTTATTTGTTAAAAAAAAAAATTTTTATTTTACGCTGAAATTGATTTATTTCTTTGATGTAATTTATTTGTTATCTTTGGTTTTAAATTTTTGTTATAGTAACTATTTCTTTTTCAAATTAGATAATGGACTTGGAAGGCAAGATTACACAAATGCAAGATGAACTTAATAACGCTCCTCTTCGAAAGGTTAATAAATCAGATGATTGGGTGCCACGAGCTCCTGAAAAATATTCGTTAACAGGACATAGAAATCCAGTTACACGCGTTACATTTCATCCAGTATTTTCCGTATTAGCATCTGCATCTGAAGATACTACTATAAAAATTTGGGATTATGAGACTGGTGAATTTGAACGTACTCTCAAAGGTCATACTAAATCAGTTCAAGATATAGCTTTTGATCCGAAAGGCAACTTTTTAGGTATATACTTTATTTTACAATTTTATTCATGATTTCTTATCTTAATTCGTATTTCTACTAAAATTTGAAAGTTGCCTTGTTTAGTTTCCTGCTCTGCAGATTTGACAATAAAAGTTTGGGATTTGCAGAACGATTATAAATGTGTTAAGACTTTATATGGACATGATCATAGTGTTTCTTCTGTTGCATTCTTACCATCTGGTGATATTATTGTATCTGCTTCTCGTGATAAGACCATTAAATTGTGGGAAATGTCATCAGGGTAAGTATTTATTAATTTCTTATTTGATCAAAGTTCTTAAGGTATCAATTTATAAAATATATCTTTAAACAGGTATTGTACTAAGACTTATAGTGGTCATTTGGAATGGGTACGAATGGTCTCACCAAGTGAAGATGGAAAATGGATTACTACTAGTTCAAATGATCAGGTTTGTTGTTATATATGTATTTATCTATGTAATGTTACAAAACTGACGCTTGTATATAAAGACTTCACGTCTTTGGGATGTAACAACTGGAGAGTGCAAAATGGAATTTAGAGGTCATGATCATGTTGTAGAATGTTCAATTTTTGCTCCTGCTGCTGCAATTCCCCATATACGAGAAATGATAGGGCTAGTTGTCGATGTATGTATATTTTATCGAATTGACCTTATTTAAATATATTACTTTATTAAAGTCATTTATTTTATCCTAGCCGAAAGCTAATTCCAAAGATCAAATACTTCCCGGTCATTATATTGTGACAGGATCGAGGGATAAAACGATCAAAGTGTGGGATTCGACAGGCCAATGTGTGAAGACATTGGTACGTTATTTTATACACTATGTTTATACTATACTTGTTCATTTGATGTTGATTCTAAAATTCGTTTCATGTTCTTAGGTCGGTCATGATAATTGGGTGCGTGGTTTAGTTTTTCATCCCAGCGGCAAATATCTTCTCAGCGCATCTGATGACAAGACCTTGAAGATATGGGATATGAGAACTGGTCGATGCACGAAGACTTTGGAAGCTCATGCTCATTTTGTTACGTGTATTGCATTTAATAAAGCAACTCCTGTTGTGGCTACAGGGTCTGTGGATCAGACGGTGAAAATTTGGGCACCATTCAGGTGAAGTTAGAACGAAAATATAAGAATATAACTTTATGTTATATAAAGAGCTTTCGGTATACAAATATTCTGTCAATATATTCAAAATATAGATTTTATCTTATTATAAAGGAGTTCATCGTTATGGTACATGTTCACATCACTTTCCCGTTTTTGTTTTGGTTTTTTTCAATTTTTTTTCCGGTAAATCTTTTTTTATTATCAACCTTCAGAAAAAAAAAAAAAAAAGTTTTTTATATTTCATTCAATTTTCAAAAATATATAATTGCCAAGTATTTAATAAACGGGTACATAGTGGGGTGATTCTCGTAATACATATGAAGCCTAAGGACTATGAAGAGTATGTAATAGCTTACGTTGTATAAAAACGTGATGTATTAAACTGAATATAAATTTACATATTAAAGATCAAGTATTGGTAAGAATATAGTCATATGTTCTCTTTAAGATTTGAACACAGCATACATTATCGTTATGATTATCAATTGATTTTTTTTTCTCAGCCTAAAAAATATTGGTGGATTTTTGTTACTCGGAATAATTTACAGTATATCGACATTGTATACCGATACAGCAGTTTTTTTTTATTTACAAAAAATACCGGTAAATACCGTTTATTTGTGACAGCGGTACAATAATTGGAGTATATTAATATTGTACGCTTTAAGCAATATTGTTTAACTTACGTACGTACGTACAGTACGTACGTATTAACAGTTAATTTGCCCCGTGTTGATTTGCATAAATTTTTGTTATTGTTTTGTGTAACTGTGTTATACTTTGTGGCACTCGGATAATGTGTACCAGGTTGGTGACGTAGATCTCCAGAATTACAAATCAGATTTCAAGATTTGGTGTAACGTAACACGATCAGGAAGATTCAAACTAAACGCTCGTTCTGCCAAAAATCGCCAATAACTCAAACATCAGCATAAGAAACCACCTTTAGTGCTCTAGTAAAAAGATTTCGTTGGGCAATTTTGCTATATAAACTATTTCTCTCTAATTCCTAACCCGCACTCTAACCCTAACCTTAACGAGTTTTAGGAATTTTGTCTGCGCCACCAACCTGGTACATATTATCCAAGTGCTACTTTGTGAGGCAACTGTACGTACGTACGTACATACATGTGGTGGCTGGAAGTGGTTATAATGAATGTAGCAGTTCTTATTGTGTCCTTTTCGATGTACATACTTCATAGCATAACTGATCTCCAAAATCAACATGTTATTTCAATACTGTAAATTCTTAGTTTCAATAGTGATGAGTCTGTAATTTTAATGGTAGTGGTTCATGATGTAACATTTGACATTAGACAAGTTTATGATTTTATAGTTCATAATTTTAACGGTGTGTTGGTTCACGATTTTGTAGTGGGTAATAATTTTAGTTGTAGATAAGTAAGTTTATGACTTTAACAGTGAATTTGTGATCTCAATGGTAGATAGATTCAAAATTTTTAATAATAAATTGGTTCATGACTTCAGTATGAAATAGCTTGTAATTTCAATAATGAGTAGGTTTATGAATTAAGTTTACAATTTAGTAATAAATAAAATTCATAATTTAGCATAGGTGAATTATAATAAATAGGTTTATAACTTAATAATAAATAGTAAAGATTCAGGATTACAAAAGTAAATAATTTGATTAGTAAATACACTTTGTGTTTATCAAATAAATTTTATTAGTAAATACTTGAATCAGTTATCTTAAATACTGTATATAGAGTAATAAGTACTTAGATACATATTTTCTAAATTAATAAAAAATTAAATAGATTATTTAAATACTTATATTAATCTAATATAAATAATGTGTAAAATATTCATGAACTTGAATTATCTTTTAAAGATTTAAATTAATAAATTATCTTTATACTCACCTAATTCAATATAAGTAAATAAGATTGATAATAAATATTCATGAATCTAAATGCTTATTTAGATTAATAAACACTTTTTGCATCAATCTACCATAAAGTGTATATACAAAACCCAGGTTTCTTATATTTTACCAAAAAAATTAATTAGCAAAAAAAAGAAAATAATAAAAAATGAAATATTTGGGAAAACCTTGTATATACACTTTTTACAGTAGTTTAATATAAATAAAGTATATATTGTATCTCAGATGCAATTTGTTCCAGATGTCAATTGGCCTTCATCATAACAAATCTAATATTAAATGTTACTAATCTTTACTGATTTTTAATAATAAACAAATGTCTTATGTTCTATACTTCTATTAAATAATATTAATTTTCTACCCAAATTATATGTTCCATTAGCATTATCTATCTTTGTTAATTTTTAATAATAGATTAATGGTTTATGTTTATCTTTTTCAACTCCAATTTTTATATCATAACAATTATTTCTTATTATATTTTCCATTAATGTCCCTCTCTTAGTAGATTTTTAAATAACTTACATTTATTATAATTTTATTAAAATAATGATTTTTTCTCTAGACTATATGTTTTATCAATTTTTTTTATCTCTGCTAATTTTAGATAATATATGAAAGGGTGTGGCAACTTAGTAAAGTAGTTAAGTTGTCACCCCCAAACGGCATGTCTAGGGTTTGAATCCTGTTAAAAGCGAATCTTTAAATTTCTATCTATATACAGCTATGATCTTCTCTGTTGGAGCTATATTATGCACAGTGTTCATTAAAGTTGAGGCTTAGTTCTGTAACCCGGTATTCACCAATTTAACTAAATTGAAAAAACCCATAGGGTGTTCATATAACACACAAGTTACATGAAGGCATGCAAGCTGGCAAAGAGTGGTGCAAACCCAAGATAAGTCTTTATAACCGGATAATTCCTGGGAACTTCGGCAAGATCGATGCCCACTTGGCAAGACCCGAGTAGAGAGGTAGTGCAGTCTTAAGTGTCTGAGTGAACTCCATAAGGGCAGGGTAGTTCAAGAAGTGGTGTAATTTACCTGTAAAGGTATAAAATTTATTTAATGAAGAATCCTCTTGTGGTTAATTAATAGTTGCCAGGTTCGCCATTCCAGCTGTTGTATAGCCTAAAGAAAAACTAGATCATCTGTTGAGTAACAGGCAACAATAGAAGGCACTAATTGGGTATCCCTTCTTTTACTATAACTAGTTGTATTTTAAATTAGTTCCTTAATAGAAAATAAGGAGTGATTTGCCACATGAAAATAGTTATATGAGATAAATAAATAGTTAGAATAGTATCACCTTGATACAAAAAATTGTAACTAATATCATATATACAGCAAAATCAAAAATAAAAAAAATAAAAAAAAAAATAATATATGAATGTTTTGTATTTATTTTTTTCAACTCCAACTTTTATTAAAACAACAATTTTTTATTTAGACTTATATACCCCATTAGCATTTTTCATCTTTACGAATTTTGAAAATAAATGAATATCTTATATTCATCCTTTTAACGCCAATCTCTTTATTATAATAATATCCAATATTAAATATCTCACTAGTATTACTCATCTCTGTCGATTTTATATAATAGATAATTGCTTTATATTTATCTCTTTCAACTCCAATTCCATTAAATCAATAATTTTCTTACCTGTATTTCTATGTTCTATCAGCATTTTTTGTCTCTGAAAATTAATAAGATGCATTACATTCATTAGTTTCAACTCAATTTCTTCATCATAGCAATGTCCAACAGTCAATATTTCACTAAATTTATTTATCTCTGCTGATTTTAAATAATAAATGATTGCTTTATACTATCCTTTTTAATTCCAATTCTGTTAAACAACAATTTCTTATCTAGGCTTCACAGGTCCGAATTTGATATATCCTACACCTATCCTATACCTATCCTGTGCAATGACATGTAGGATATCTCACACATGTCTGCAAACCAACTACACATATCTTACACATATCCTACACCTATCCTACGTATTTGAATATTTGTGTAGAATTAGTATACTATACATGTACTATATGTGTAAGATATCCTATATCATCCTCACTCATCTGCTACCCGATTTATATAGCTTAAGTGTAGGATATATCAAATTTCAACCTGTGCTTATATATTCTATTAACATTCTACATCTCTGAAAATAAATTAATGTTATACGTTCATCTTTTTCAATTTAATTCCTTCATTATAATAATATCCAACATCAAATATCCTATTAACATCACTTATCTTTGCTAATTGGTGATAATAAATTAATAGTTTATGTTCATTTTTTTCAACTCCAATTTTTATATTATAACAACTATCTCTTATTCAGATCATATGTTTTATTAGTGTCCCCATCTTAGTAGATTTTTAAATAACTTATATTCATCCTAATTCTATTAAAATAATGATTTTTTCTCTGGACTATATATTTCATCAATGTTTTTCATCTCTGCTAATTTTAAATAATATATGAATGTTTTGTATTCATTCTTTCAACTCCAACTTCTATTAAAACAACAATTTTTTATCTAAACTTATATACCTCATCAGCATTTCTCATTTTTGTGAATTTTTGAAAATAAATGAATGTCTTATATTCATCCTTTTCAACTTCAATCTCTTTGTTATAATAATATCTAATATTAAACATCTCACTAGCATCACTCATCTCTATTAATTTTAGTTAATAGATAATTGCTTTATATTTATCTCAATTCCATTAAATAAATGATTTTCTTACCTGTACTTCTATGTCCTATCAGCATTCCTCATCTCTAAAAATTAATTAGATGCACTATATTCATCATTTTCAACTTAATTTTTTCACAATAGCAATGTTCAATATTCAATGTTCTATTAGCTTTACTCATCTCTGCTGATTTTAGATAATAAATAATTGCTTTATGCTATTCTTTTTAATTTCAATTCTATTAAACAAAAATTTTTTACCTAGGCTTATATATTCTATTAACATTCTACATCTTTAAAAATGAATCAATGTCATATATTCATCTTTTTCAATCCCAATTCCTTCATCATAATAATATCCAACATCAAATGTTCTATTAACA